CTCACTGTTTTAACCACACCCTCAATCTAGTTCTGATGTACGGGAATTGAAATTGACAACCTAATAGTCTTTCCACAGAATCTCTTTCTATAAGATCATTCTTTAATAACTTTTGATTTAATTCTACTCAATTACACATCACTCAGCAACAGTTACTATACTAGGTGTTTATCAGAGAGTGCTGTTGCAAAATTTAAGGAAATTATTCCATCAACGTTAAATTTAATACCATGTCCTTCTGTAACAGAGGTTTCCCATACCACCTTTAAACTCTTACGAATTGATCATCTTGTTGATAGTGCTACAGGCTCACTGCGAACAACACTCGACTCTGTAGCTCCTCTAACAAAGCAAAGAAAGTACGCTCCTTGCTACAACTCTCAAACCCGTAAGTTAAAACAAATATCACGAAGATTTGAAAGAAATTGGCGATTAACCAAACTGGAAGAATCTCATTAAGTCTGGGAAGGCAGTCTCAAAACGTATGTAGCCAAGTGGAAATAAGAGTTCACACTAAAGCCACTAGATGGCACTGTGCCCCAGACTGTGAGGTGTTCTATAGGAGATCGCGTGAGAGAGTGAGAATCGCGGACCAGAAACAGGAAGTGATGAGCAGCGTCCGCTTGGAGAGAGAGACTCACCTGTTCACCAGAAGGGATATTTGTTGTTTTTCGAGTGGGTAAATATGTTTAAAATGTTACTTTCTGTATGAAACGCTTGACAGATGATCACTTTTGAGATCGTATAGAAGTGTAACATGTAATGTTTACCGCAGATAGCGACGTAGTCGTTCGGATGTTTACAGATTTTGAGTACATGTGCTTGGTCGCGGAGTAAGTAATTAAGATGTCAACAAGGTTAATACATGCTGAGAGTATTGTTAATTCAGTTTACAGAGTTACATTTTGCTATTGTTCATGCTGGAAAACTTTCACTAGTTGTGCATTTTTACTGAAAATGATGTTTATTTTCGTGTGTAGAGCTGCAAGAGTTTGACGGCCTGTCGCCACATGATGTGTATCTGAGTTAGTACAGAGATAAAGTGTTGTAAGTATATTAATGGGCTGTATGATTTCATTTCATATTAATGTACTAATGTTTCATATTCTGTGGAAATAACTGAATGTGAATTTTGTTTATTTCTTTTATTTTGTTTAGCAGAAGAACTACCGCTACAGTTGTTCATGCATTTTCATGCATTCTCATGTATTTTCGTGTATTTACATAAAGGTGTTCATGAGTTGTTAATGCACTGGCATTAGTGCACTTTGAGTCAGAAACGTTGTTTACCGAGATAGGTGAAATCCTTTGAGTTTTGAAGAGTAAGATATTACTTGAAGTGAGGCTCTTCATGCCTGAAGATGTCCATTTTTGTTTGTGAATGAAATCTTTGTTAAACCTAAACCAAATTGAACTCTCCAAGATAATTTAATACTACTCTCTTGTTTTTTTAAAGAGTATTCGGAGAAATAAAGATCCCGTAAATTAGTTTGTGTCCTGGGTTATTTTAAATTTGACCAGGCTACACGTATAAGAGGGCCCTCCACAATGCCAGAGCAAACTATTACTCAGCATTAATAGAAGAAAATAAGAACAACCCCAGGTTTCTTTTCAGCACTGTAGCCAGGCTGACAGAGAGTCACAGCTCTATTGAGCCTTGTATTCCTTTAGACCTTAACAGTAATGATTTTATGAGCTTTTTTAATGACAAAATTCTAACTATTAGAGGCAAAATTCATGACCTCCTGCCCTCAAATGTAACCAGTCTGCCCTCAAACACAGCTGCAAGACCTAATATATATTTAGATAGCTTCTCCCCGATTTCTCTTCAACAACTGACCTCAATGATTTCTTCATCTAAATCATCAACGTGTCTCTTAGACCCCATCCCAACTAGGCTACTTAAAGAACTCTTACCTTTAGTTAACACTCACTTATTAGACATGATCAATATTCTTCTATCTTTATTAACAGGTTATGTACCACAGTCATTAAAGGAGCAATAAGTGAAATTCATCATTTCTAGATTGAAGGAATTAAAAAATTGCTATGTGAAGAACTAGAGGTGTAATTTCATCTGGAGTATAGCATGACCTCACGCACCCTCTCTCTGTGTTGATCTCCAGCCCATTGTTTACAAGCCGGTCCGGCTGCACGTTCATGTACGTTCATGTGAATCCCATGGCGCTATGTCGATTCAATTAAATTTAATGTTACAATCGTAGCATGGGTTAATGTCCAGAGCTTGAGTTATTAGTGGCTCGGTCCCAGCAATGGGTCAGGCGTTTCGGTTGTGTTAGGTGAGTAGCCCGGCAGCTCAGCTAACATTTGCAAATAGCACTGTAAAATGTAGCCCGGCGGGCAGCCTGGCGGCTGTGTTTAGCTATTCCCCTGCCTTCTTCAATGATGATGGTCCCTGTAATAAATGCAATATATTTGCTGAAATGGAGGCGAGGCTCAGTGACTAGAAGAGCTGGTAGAAGCGCTCCATAGCTGCAAGCTACTCCAATAGCCGCAGTAGCTGTAGTGCTAACTCTGGAAGCTAACGCTAACATTCCTCTCTTCCCCATGAGCCCGCCAGGCTCCATGCTAGAGCTCGCCGGAGCCAAGAAGCAGGCTCCCGGAATGTTAGCATGGCAGCCGACTACTGCTAACGCTAACATCCCCACGCTTCTCGGCTCCGACTCACTGAGCCTGGCGGAGAAGCGTGGGGACGTTAGCACTAATGGGCTGCCATGCTTACGTTCCAACTCTTCTCCGTGAGACCGTGAGCCCGGCTCCCTGCTATGTTGGAGCGTTAGCATGGTAGCCGAGTAGTGCTAACGCTAACAGGAAAGCAGGGAAATAGCTAAACACAGCAGAGACCGAGAGTGAGTGAAAGACATTGCTAACTGCTAAACTAAGCTGGCTGTTTAGGTTTTATTTCCTCGCCCCTGTGGCGAGTGAATCTGCCCAGAGTGAAAGCGGGGGCTAACCGGTGCTTCCTCCTCATGCTCCACTTCACTCAGCTGCTAACACAGTCAGTTAGCCTCCGCTAGCTTCCCAGCTAGTGGCGCTCTGTTTGGATCCAACTGGAGCACCGAGCCCTGGTTTGTTATTCAGGTTAATGTGGGAAGAAGCAGCGGGTATATCGGGCAGCTGAGTGAAGCTGTGAAGCAGAGGTGTTAGCCAACTATAGACCAATTTCTAATCTTCCCTTTCTTTCAAAGATCCTTGAGAAAGCAGTCGCAGACCAGCTGTGTGACTTTCTATGCGATAATAATTTGAGGAATTTCAGTCGATGATGAATCATCTCTACGTACTAAAGTTTGTTTAGGAGTTCCACAAGGTTCTGTGTTTTGACCAATTCTGTTCACTTTATAAATGCTTCCCATCATTAGAAATCACTCTGTAAATTTCCATTGCTATGCAGATGATACACAGTTGTATTTATCGATAAAGCCAGAAGAAACGGATCAATTAACTAAACTTCAAAAATGCCTTAAAGACATAAAAACCTGGATGAGCTCCAATTTCCTGATGTTAAATTCAGACAAAACTGAAGTTATTGTTCTTTGCCCCAAACACCTCAGAAACTCTTTATCTGATGATATAGTTTCTCTGGATGGCATTGCTCTGGCCTCTAGCACTACCGTAAGAAACCTTGGAGTAATGTTTGACCAAGATTTGTCTTTTAACTCCCATTCAAAATGGACTGCATTTTTTCATCTGTGTAATATTGGTCCACGCTTTTGTTTTGTTTTAGGCTGGATTACTGTAATTCCCTATTATCAGGTAGCTCTAATAAGTCTTTAAAACCTCTTAAGATAATTCAGAACGCAGCGGCACCTGTGCTGACAGGAACTAAGAAACGAGATCACATTTCTCCTGTTTTAGCTTCTCTGCACTGGCTCCCTGTAAAATCCAGAATTGAATTTAAAATCCTACTCCTAAATTAGAAAGCTTTAAATGGTCAGGCTCCGTCATATCTTAGAGAGCTCATGGTGCCATATTATCCCACTAGAACACTGCGCTCTGAGAATGCAGGGTTACTTGTGGTCCCTAAAGTTTCCAAAAGTAGATCAGGAGCCAGAGCCTTCAGCTATCAGGCTCCTTTTCTGTGGAATCATCTTCCTGTTACGGTCCGGGAGGCAGACACCATCTCCACATTTACGACTAGAGTTAAGACTTTCCTTTTTGATAAAGCTTATAGTTAGGGCTGGCTCAGACTTTCCTGGGACCAGCCCTTAGTTAGGCTGACATAGGCCTAGTCTGCCGGGGGACCTCCTGTAATACACCTCCTATAATACACCGAGCACCTTCTCTCCTTCCCTCTCTCACTCTCTCCTTTGCTAACACTCATGTCATCCTTTAGTTAATACTCATATATTAGATATGATCAATATATCCTTATTAACAGGCTATGTACCACAGTCTTTTAAGGTAGCTGTAATTAAACCTCTGTTTTCAGTTTAATGTTCCCTTCATGAAAATTATAAAACAAATGTGATTCTGTTCCTACTCCTAGGAAATTAAAACACTCAGTGAATGTTCCTAGAATTTTTTTAACAATACCATTTACATCAATACCAATACATTTAAAGTGTCACCATCACATACTCACTGAAAAACCAGAGAAAAAAATTCTGTCAACATTGACATTTGTGGGCGGCACGGTAACACAGCACAGCAAGAGGGTTGCCGGTTCGATCCCGTGTGTGTGTGTGCGGAGTTTGCATGTTCTCCCCGTGTCAGCGTGGGTTCTCTCTGGGCACTCCGGCTTCCTCCCACAGTCCAAAGACATGCAGATTGGGGACTAGGTTAATTGATAACTCTAAATTGTCCATAGGTGTGAATGTGAGCGTGAATGGTTGTTTGTCTCTATGTGTCAGCCCTGCGATAGTCTGGCGACCTGTCCAGGGTGTACCCTGCCTCTCGCCTGATGTCAGCTGGGATAGGCTCCAGCCCCCCCGTGACCCTCAAGAGGATGAAGCGGTTAGAAGATGAATGAATGAATGAATAAATTGACATTTGTCCGATTTATTGGAAACTATAAAAAAAAAAAAAACGGAGAAAAAAAAAGGAGAGCAAACAGGAACACTTTCTGCTAAGGATCATACAGGAACATACAGAAACTTACAGGAATTAACATAGATGGAGGAACACTGCAGCAGGAACATACAGAAACATACAGGAAGTAACATAGATGGAGGAACACTGCAACAGGAACACACAGAAACATACAGGAAGTAACATAGATGGAGGAACACAGGCCTAGTCCTGGCTTACTGCAGTTTGGTCTGCTGCTTCACCCCCCTGTAAAATAGAAAAAAAGTCATGTTAGATAATCTTTTATTGCAACACACGTCACACTATCATACAAACAAACAAAAGTTTTTAAGACTTGGCTTTAAACAGCCAATACAGGGTCTAAAATTATATTTTTGGCTCACCAGTCAAATGCCTGTGTAATGGCAATAATACGTGGTGATCATGAAAAACACAGAGAGCTGTCCTTTGGGAATTTATTTTCTTTGAAATAAATTATCAAGCATTCAGACCCTGGAACCCCAGCTCCCGGGCGAATGAGAGACAAATTGACATACAGAGTGGAAGTACTTATGCCAGAGAAACAGATAATGCCTTTGCGTACACAGAGAGAAACTACTTCACATATGCTGACCTTGTGGGCCAGATAAGGTTTAAGACATGGAGACAGACAGAAAAGGCCCAAACTGCATGCAATATGAAATAGGAATAGACTAAAGCCCTGTTCGGACGGGATTAGTTTTACATAGGGACGAGGGGTAAAGTAATAATTACCAGAGAACTTAGTCCCGTCCATGTCAGTAATCATTACCGCACGATGTCAGTAAAGATTACTGCGACTTTTACCTTCTGTAAAAGGGTCCAGGACAATTACCTCAGGTAATACTTATCCCATGCGAATAGATCAGCAGTAAATGTGTGTTAGGGCTGTCAAAAAAAAATTGAAGTTAGAAATATATTCAAATATATTTATTTTTTTATAAGTTTGAACCTAAATTGGATCATTCAAATATCATTAATAATTAATTAATACTATCAGTAATGTTGTATATCACAGCAAATCCCGTTCGGGCGGAGATGGCTCGCGCATGAGCCGGGCCAGAGAGGGACGCAGCGGGAGGGAGAGGCGCCGACGGAGGAGTCCGCTGCACCAACACCACCCACTGCGCTGTCATTCAATACCAAGTCCTTCTGTAACAGAGGTTTCCCATACCGACTTTAACCTCTCCCGAATTGATCATCTTGTCGATAGCGCCGTAGGCTCGCTGCGAACAACACTCGACTCTGTAGCTCCTCTTAAAAAGAAGTTAACAAAGCAAAGAAAGTTCGCTCCTTGGTATAACTCTCAAACCCG